TCTTCAGTGGGGTCCGAACTGCACTGCTGCTCAACTCTAGCTCCCACTTCTTGGTCACTCTGACCATGTTCCGTGCTGGCCCAGATGGCGACCGCGGAGTCTCGAGCCTGACATGGGCTCGAATCGCCTGTGGATGCCTGAGATTGTCCAAGTGCCGACGGTTTTCCACTTCACGGCCACCTCCATGCTTGCCTTTGCGCTTCTGAGCCAGCCCTCGATGGTTCTTAGAGTCTGAACAGAAATACTAGCAGCACGTGGAACAGAACAAAATAAAGTGTGGTGAACCCACCGTCGGACATTCCACTAGGCTGTGCCCTGCCACATGCCATGGCCCCAGGAAACCGTCTAGCTCGTCCTCCAGGACCAGTTCACACTGGGGCTCATTGTCCACCATGGCGGTCAGGGACTGCTGAAAGGGGGCCTCCTGCTCCTCATCTGCTTTCACCGGGAATGGTAGCCCAGGCCCTCAGCGTTACAATCATACAGCCACGCTTGAAAGTTCCCAAGGCACTGCAGTAGCATGTTGTGCAACTTCCTACAGCCCCGAGCGAAATCCACGTGCTCGTCCTCTGGCATTTTATATGCAGCCCCACGCTTCGCCAATGCGTCCGCCGTGGAGTTGCCCGTCTTCTCAAAATCTGACAACACACCTTCAATAACATCCGTCTGTGTCGCATGGCCCTTCACATGCTTAAACGCCTGCCGCTGGAACTCCTCATTCTGGCCGATCAACTTCCACACATTAGCTCTTGGATTGCCTGCTCCCACAGCCAGGCTAGGCGAACGGCAGTAAGACAGCGTGCCTTTGCAGTCTGAGAGTACCGTGTATGACCCCAGAACTTGCCTGCTAACGATCAGCATCGCATAGTCCTCACCACACTTGGCCACTCGGAGCGGGCACCTGTCCTTTGGCACTGCACCGAAGTATCTGGCCACTCTCCTGCGCTCATGGTCGTATACAACGACTGACCAACCTGCGCTTCTCATGCACGGTATGTCAGTATAGTAACCACTCCCGTCAGTGAAAACAAAGCCTCCATCAACATGCACAACACCTTTACGATCCGTATCAAAGTAGTGGCGAGCTGGGCCCCTGATCGGATAAGCGAAGGCTCGAGCAGGGTCAGGAAGAAGGCCACGGCAGAAGTAAGTCTGTAGGGCCTCGGGGGCCTGCTTCATACGCCTGACTGCATTGTGGAGCTCCTTCGGGAGGCTCTCCAGCCTGAAGAAGTGGTACGCGTCGCACTCAAAGAACCTATGATAGAAAGTGCCTGGGCATCCTTGGCACCTCAAGCACACCCCGGGCTCCCCGTTGAAGGACTTCGAGACCCTGTACTGGCGCCAGTGAGCCCCCGAGCACAGGCCCCTGAGAGACCTCCTTTCCCTTGGCGGCAACTTACTGCGCTTTGAGTGCAGGACCTCATTCATAGGTATCCACGATATGGGGCCTTGAGGGACTCGTGAGCCGCCATCTGCGAGCCTGTGCAGCGCCTTCCTATCGATGTGCCTCCGAACCCCATGCTTGACCATCGAGCTCAGTAGGGCAGGCGGAGTGGTCCTGAAGTCCCAGAGCTGCTCATCGTCATCTCTGATGGTGTGGACGTCCTCCCAAGACCACCCAATCCTGTGGAACGAGAGGAGAAGAGCGGCAATCGGGTTTTTGCACTTGGCCCAACGTTGTGGATCCAGTAGCAACGGCCTCGCTTCTTTGAGCAGCTTGTCGACGACCGCCCATGTGACGGCCTGCGAATTCATGACGACAGCAAAGGTGTGGACCGCGTCCACCGTCGCAATGGCCAAGGGGCCCTGCTGCCAGCCGCACTCTGCCGTCAGCAGCGACAGACCCACAGACGCACCTGGCTTGTACTTGCCAACGTTCAAGTACGACATGCGCAGGGACTGGACCCTCGAACTTGCCACACCGTGGACGCTGGAGCCCCAAAGAGATTTGGCCAGGACCCCAGCCCGATGCACCGCTGACTTTTTGACGACCCAGTCCCTGGAGAGCTCTGACACGAACCCCTCGCTGAAGAGCCTCTGAGATCCTCGAAACCTGAGTGCTTATCCCCCTCATCCTTCCGTCGATGGCATCTCCCCCTAGATCTCGATGAAAGACACCCCGACCAGGGCAAGGAACATCTTCTGGCCAAAGATGTCGCACATGCGCTCTCACGTTGCGGACAACTTCCTCATCACTGCACTGCATGCCACACTTGTCCCGCGAAATCGGGAGCCTGCGGTCCTCCATGCCTCGTAGCAGCATCGCTAAACCAGTAGTCGCCTGATCTGCCACTTGGGTGGGCCCTCCTATCACGCGTGGGCTGATACCGTCAATCAAGTTCTTGATTCTGATAAGGTTACACTTAACCCCTATGCTCCTGAGCGTGGTGATCGTCATCAACTTGGCCAACCCTGTCGCGCAAGAGCACCCTGCTCTGATGGACCCGTTCGCGTTAATGACCTCCGAATCCGTTTGTTGGTAGACGGCCCTCCTTGGGCCTCTGTACAGGGCACACAAGGGCCTCAGAAGCGCCAGGGGGGAGCCTGCATCCCTGGCAGCACGCAAAAGTTCCTGGTGGCTGACAATTTCATAAAACTTGCGGAGGTCTACAAACGCGCTAAAACTGACAAAGCCTAACTGGGGAGCCACAGCCGCAAGGGCGTTGTGAATCCAGGCGGACTTGTCACATGAGGTCTCGCTAGAGGCTCCCCAGAAGAACCTATCGGGCAACTTGGATTCCCATTTGGAGACCTGCTTGCGCCATAGTCTCGACCATATTCTAGCAAACAGGGGCAGCAGGCCCATGGGTCTTCCCCCCCCTTGAGGTTTGGGGAGGAAGACTATGAGAATGAGCCACGTGTCAGTGAGCTCAGGCTCAGCCCACCGATGAAAATCAGGATAAACGCCGCTATTAGAGTCTCAGGCAACTTCTCGATCCACCTCGGGTGAAAAGGAATCCCAGCCTAGACCAGTGTTGGGTCTAAACGACCCTAAGACTGCACGCACCGCTGCCGGCTCTAGCTCGGGAAGGGGAGCCGCGTTTGAAACATCCCAGGAGAGGGGTTGGGGCTCAAGGTCCCTGGACGGAAGCTGCCAAAGCGAGACCCAAGCCCCCAGCGTGGCCTTCAAGGCCTCATGGCCCACAACGGGCAGCGAGTCAGCAAGCGCTGGTTGGGAATTGCCCTGAGGGCCCCGAGAATACTTATGAGCAAGACTCCCTCCTCTCTGGAACGCGAGCTCTGAAAACTCCCTCCCAGACTGCCGAGCCGCCGACGCATCCTTGCCCGTTTGATGCTTCACACGACGCTGCAGCACGTCACAAACATCAACACGAGAGTCGGGATCCTGCAGACGGGCAAGGAAGGCGAAATGCGAGCTTGGTGACCCAGACTCCTGAGTCGACAAAGCCCCCTCCTCCCCCGAACCCGTCCAAACGCTACCGACCTCCTCCATACGTGCAACAGCGCTGCGGATCGCTGCATCCTTGTCTTGGGCCGCGGAGTCTTGCGCGCGGAGCCACTGCATTGTCACTCTGCGAAGCGTAAGCCGCTTCTGAGTTAGAGCACCGGCCTTTCTTCCGGTACTTTTTCCCCAGGCGCAAGACAAGGGCACTTTTTCAAGACGGCAACCTGCAGCACGACCTGAATAACGGGGCCTTTCAAACTCAGGCAACGCCGTGTACATGCACAGATAGAGCTCAGGAGAGGAGAACCACCTGCGCGCAAGACTGTCCACGGATTCCCCTGCAAGAATTTCAAAACCTGACCAGCCCGAGATGTCCCCTGGAACGAAAGCCTCCCCTTTCTTTGGGAGCCTAAACGCCTCGGGCTGGATTCGCCTGCGAATGGAATTGTGGCTTCCAACCCCCCACATCCTGAGGGCAACCGCTTTGTGGGGCCCCACGGGAGTGCCACGCCGAAGGCTTATGCTGCGGACAAAGGGCACGAGCACATCACTCATTACAAAAAAGTCAATGCAGCTGTTGTTACACGTGGGCTGTTCAACGCTCACCACCTCCGCGTGCAACACATTCAAGAAACCATGCCTAAGAAAACTGTCGGTTCCAAAAAGGTCAGCTTCGATGTTCCAGTCGCCCGCAATGCAGAAGGGCAGGCAAGAGGCCCTAACGGCCTCAATGAGAGCTCCCAGGAGCTCCTCGTTACCCTTGAGGCCCACCCCCACCTCCCCGTAAACCGACACGAAGAGGATCTGCATATCTCCTAAAACAGTACGCTGAAACTTTAGCCTGCTCTTTGGGTGTGTACATGCTGGCAAGTACTCGGCAACAGGAATGCGAGCACGTGTGCACAGGCCTACCCCGCTAGACGTCGACAAGGTTGAACTGCCAGTGATCGCACACGGTGACGCCTCCAGCCTATAGCCCCGAGCCCTAGCCCAGGCTCGACCACGACGGATCTGCTCACCCGCTGTGAGGCGCAGCTCCTGCAGCACGAAGATGTCCGCCTGCAGCATCTGGTCCAGCACGCACCACTCCATGAAACTCTGTGCCGTGGCCCAGGAATTGCCATTGTAGCAGACCACCGTGAACTCCGTGCTCACCCCGAACGATTGGATTGGCTGCTTGTCGCCAGCCACCTGAAGCTTGCTAAGCGCTGCGCAGGTCAAACTCCGACCGAGCGACTCCACACCATGAACAGGAACGGGCTCATGTAGTTCGCCAGGGCCAGGTGAAACTGGGTGTTGCCCCGCAAGCTGCCCCGCAGGAAAAGGCACCACTTCCTCTGATGCCTCTTCTCCATTCAGATACTCGCAAAGGCGCAGGCAACTGTAATCGGGGAAGTGCAGGCCACCGTAGGTTGCTTGTCTCAATCGCTTGTTGTACACTCCGCCCCCTGTGACCGCATCCGTGGAGGACACGAGGGGGCACTCAATAGTTCGGGTTATGTAGGCGCTTGGGTTTGAAGCCTCCCGCTGCCAACAGACGAGCTTCGGCTCGAAGCTCACCCTCGTCCTCTCCTTCGTCAGCCAAGGAGCCAACATCCTCGCGCAGCTGCTCCACCTCGATCGTGTCGATGTGCCATGCTGCTGGGGGCGGCTCAGCTGATTGACCACCACCCGCTGCCACGCGGGCACGCTTGTCGGGCGGCTCCTCCAGTACCTCGGCCGCACAGGATTTGAGCACCTCCGCCAGCCTCGGCGCCAACTTGCTGGCGTCGGCGACTCCCTCCATCGCGCCAAGCGCTGCAAGCAACTTATCCTCATCCAGCTTGATCTCTGGGCCCGTGAGGTCCATCGACTGATGCTGCCCTGGCTCTTCCGCTGGCTGCGAGGATGCGAGAGCGCGAACTTCCTCCTCCAGCTGCATGCAGACCTTCTGGCGCTCCACGACCACCAGCGCAGCTGCCTTGGCCTCCTCCTGCGCCTTGAGCAGCTTCTGGTCCGCTGCCGCCTTGTCCTGCTCCCTTCTGGTAGCGGATGCGAGCCTGCTCAGCTCGTCGCGACAACGCCGTGAGCTTCGCTGGCAAGGGCTTGTTCTCATACAGCTTACGACGAGCTCCCTCCAGCTGCTCACGAGCAGCCTTGAGCGGTAACACCACCCACGGAGAGCGAACCGACTCCAACCACTGCACGTGGTTGCCGAGGCCGTCGATCTCATCCCGTAGCTCTTCCGACTCATTGTTCTCCACTGCCGCGTCGCCTCCGCCAGGGTCAGACGAACCACGCAGCTTGGCATTCTCGGCCTCCAGCTGCTGCAGGCGCTTCTCCAACTTGGCCACCGAGGCAGCAGTTGCATCGAAGGTGCCGTCGGCCTTGCGCTTGCTCCGGCTGGGGAGGTCCGAGGGGGCGACGCACTTGAATGCCACACCCTTGTGCAGCTTGCACTTGTAGCACTTCTCGTTAACCCCATAGTTAATGAGAGGAGCTCCAGTCCGACGAAACGTGCAAAACTTACACATCCAGTCTTGCTTTGACTCCTGCTGCTGCTTCCCACCACATGTCCACGGCGCTGGCGCCATGGCGACGTCTTTGCTGTACGTTGGGCCGCCAGAGAGCCCCTGCGGTACTGGCTAAGAGAAAGCTGTCGAGCGCAAGCGCCCTGGCACAGCCGCGGACTAGCGGTATCCACTTTTTGTTCCCAGGGGAAACCAAAACCTTGAGCCAAAATGGATACGGACGAGGAGGAGGAGGATGAGGAGGAGGAGGAGGAGGAGGAATCAGGACTGAAATTGCCCGAACGGAAGCTCAAACCACGAGTGAACTCCATCGCTGGGTCCTTCGGCGCCCAGACTGCCACGGAGCGTCCGAAGAGAGTTACGAAAGAGGACCTCGAGCCCCTTGCGAAAACCAAAGTAGACCCCATGCTTTGACTGAAGGGGTCCCAGGACACACGTATAAATACACACAAGTAAAAATATTCCTCATATTTTCTCATATTTTCTGGGTTTCTGTCTTCCCCCCACTTCCCATATTTTCCCATATCTCCTGGGAGTCGACGATTAATTGTGTCTGTGTTTCTTCCCCTCCTAATTGACCCAAGAGGGGAACGAGCATGAGCCAAAGGGTTACGGTAGAAGAATAGCAAAGTGCACAACTATAATTTCCGTGAGGCCCCCGCGGGCTCCTCCGATCGGCGCAGGACTCCGCCCCCCTGGCGCGCGGAGCGCGGCAGAGGCGACGCCAAAGGCGCCGCAAGGGGGTTCCAGCACAGATCCGAGAATCCGCGCGGGCTCCGAAAGGCTGTTCGCATCATCTGTCTTGTTATTATTATTACTTTTCTTCTTACTATTCGTATATGTTTCGTATTATGATTAATATAATCATCCTAGGGGCCTCCTAGATGGGGTCCGAGTAGATGGGGTCGGAGGATCGCGCCGCATCGCCGATCGGCGATGCACCAGCGATGCATCGTCGACATCGGCGACGCATCGGCGACGCCGGCGTGAAGCAAATCGGGCTCCGCACCGAGGCGCGTCGGCGATGCATCGGCGATGCGGCGCGATGCTCCGACCCCATTTGCTCCGACCCCATCCAAGAGGCCTAGATTCAGGTCGGGAGTGTCCTCCTACAGGGGGAGTTCGGAGGAACACTTCAACCACACCCCAGAAAGACATTCCAAAAATACCCAAACGTAGCTACTCCAGAAAAACATCCTCAGACTATTCTTTGGCTGAACATTCCTCCTGCAGAGAGGGACATGCCCGACTTTCGCCTAGATCTTCGAGCTGAGGCATCCTCCGCCCGCACCCGTCGGGAGCGGCCAAGAGGGGGGTGTCCAAGAGGGGGGGGTGCAAATCATGACCGGCGGCATGTGCGCGGCCAAGCGGGGGGGCCAGGGACGTAATGAAAGAAGAAGAGGCGCCATGAAATCTGGGGAAATATCATGGCCCACGCCATGATATCCACCCCCCCCTAGTCATCACCCCCCTCTTTTCCGCCCCCGCACCCGCGCGGCGAAGTTCCGCCAGCCGGCCCGGCAGGGGCCCGCCCAGGGCCCCGCTTCGGGCTGCGGCCCGCCGTGCCGCCGAGGCCGGCGGGCATCGGGCCCCGGGCAGCTGCGCTGGTGCCTGGGGACGGGGGAGAAGCATCAGGTCGGGCGTGTCCTGTCCTCCTACAGGTAAAAAAAAACAATACTCAAGAATTGATATTCAAAAAACAAATACTCAAAAGAGCCAAAAAAAGTCAAACAAAAAAATCACAAAGAATCAAAAACTCTGTCCCCCGGACTATTTGGGGACTATTTTTTGGACATCCCTCCTGAAGAGAGACACGCCCAGCTTAAGAGAAGCAGCGAGCTCCCGTGCACAGAAGAAGGAAAAACGGTATAGACATAAACTTTTGGCGATCCGCGCGGGCCTCTTGGATCTGCGCTGGCTGCGGCCAACCGTGCCGCCAACGCCGTCGGGCATCGGGCATGGAGCAGCCATGCTGGTGCTGGGGACCGGGGAGGAGCAGCGAGCTCCCGTCCCAGACCCCCGACGTCGTGATGTTCTCACAACGTCGACCCCCACAAATCTGGACCCCTTCCTGGGGACCGGTGTTTCATCCTGAGGTGCTTTTGACGGTCCCGGAGCCCGGACGCAAAAGGGTATGGGTGCTCCGGAGCAACAGGCCACCCCGATCCGGACGGGAATGGAAGGAAGAGAGAACGGCACAAACATGAAATTTTGGCGCTCCGCGCGGACATCTTGGATCTGCGCCAGGGGCGGCGCCGGAGGCGCCGCCAGGGGGCCCCGGCGCAGATCCAAGAAGCCCGAGCGGAGCGCCAACAGCTTCTTTTTATGCCGCTGTTCTTTCTTCGCCGGCAGGAACGTAAACTAGGGAGTCCATAAAGGACGTACGCACCCAGCTATGTACATGAACACGGCCCCTCGATCCGCGAGACCCGCCGCGTCATACGAACATTTGCGCAATGCGTACTCTCGAAACCAGCGTGGATTCATGTACGTGTACGTCCTTTTGTCGCTCTTGAGCTCGCCGTGTGCGGGGCATCCCTGCCCGGCATTGGGCCCTGGGGCCGTCGGGCAACAGTTCGGGAGGGAGGCCTGGTCCCTGGAGAGAACTTGGCGGCGCGGGCAAGCGGGGTAGCGCCGGGGGGGGGGCGGGGATCTCTGCGGCGCGGGACATTCCTCCTCCTCCTCCTCCTCCTCCTCCTCCTCCTCCTCCTCCCTCCCTTCCTCCCCCCTCCCTCCAGCCCTCCCTCCCCCCACCCCCTTCCTCCCTCCCTCCGTCCCCCCGTCCCTCCCTCTCTCCCTCTCCCTCCTCCTCCTCTTCCTCCTCCTCCTCCTCCTCCTCCTCCTCCTCCTCCTCCTCCTGCTCCTCCTCCTGCTTCCCCTCGCGCTCGCGCGGCCCGCGTCTCCTGGCTCCTGTCCTGGTCGTGCCGGTCGTGCGACGTCGTGCGGGGTCGCACGAGGTCCTCGAGGGGGCACATTATCGCCGCCGCCGCCGCCATCTCCTGTTTGCACCGTCGCCGTCGCCGTCCGACCGTCGTCCGCGCCGCCGCCGTTGCAGCAGTCGTCGTCGACGTCGATGCTTCGGGAGTCCGCCACAATGCCTCTGGGCACGGAGTGGGCGTGTCCTCAAGTCCTTTGCCTAACCCCTGGCGCCCCAGCCGTCAGCCCTGAGGAGTATTTACGGGGCCCAGAGCCCAGATTATCAAATTTGGCTGGCCTTGTCGCGGTTCCCCTGGGCTCCCCCGCGTCCTGTCGCATGACGTTGCCCGGGCCCACGGAAGCCCCAATACGGCCAAAGAGGGCCCAAGAGGCCCCGAAGACGGTCCAAGTGGGCACCGAGTCGCCGAACCATCGTTCCAAGACGCTGAAAATGCCCCCCCCAAGAGGCCAAAATCACTGAGTGTCCTTTGCTTGTTCAAAGATGTTGGCGTTATCGCATGTTCTGTTTTCCGACGCTCCAAAACAGGCCAAAACACCCCCAATACAGCCCCAATACAGCCCGAGAGGCCTCCAAGAGGGCCCCGAGACAGCCTAAAAGCGCCCCAAGACGGCCCAGGAGGCGCCCAAGACGGCCTACGAGGGCCCCAACCCAAGACGGCCTCGGAAGGGGCCCAAGGGAAGGAACACGAACCGAAAATCCGAGCCCTCCCCAAGAGGCCCCCAGGCCCCACGAGGCGCCCCAGAGACCCCAAGAGGCCCCCGAGAAGCCCCCAAGAGGCCCCAAGAGGAGGCCCAAAATGGGCCCCAACCCATGAGGCCTCAAAACTGCATCCAAGAGGCCCCCGAGAATAGAAGAAGAAAACTTGCCATACATCTAAACTTTCGGCGCCCCGCGCGGACTTTTTGGATCTGCGCTGAAACCTCCTCCCTGGCGAGCCGAGCGCGCCAGGGGCGGCGCCGGAGGCGCCACCAGGGAGCCCCAGCGCGGATCCAAGGAACCCGCGCGGAGCGCCAAAAGTGTATGTTTATGCCGCTTCTTCTTCTTCTTCTTCTTCGTAATAGGCTTGCGGATGCCATGACAATGGACACCTCAACAATCCGATCATTGAATTAAAGATGTGCCTGAAATTACAACATGTCCTAAACA